ATGGATGTGAGAGTTGGACTATAAAGAAAGCTGAGTGCCTAAGAATTGATTCTTTTGGACTGTGGTGTTGGAGAAGACTCCTGAGAGGCTCTTGGACTGCAAGGAGATCCAACCAGTCCATCCTAAAAGGAGCTCAGTCCTGAGTGTTCATTGGAAGGATTGACGCTGAAGCTGAAACTCAAATACTTTGGCCACCTGATGTGAAGAGCTGTCTCATTTGCAAAGACTCTGATGCTGGGAAAGATTGAAGGCAGGAGGAGAAGGGGACAACAGAGCATGAGATGTCTGGATGGCATCACCAATGCAATGAACATGAGTATGAGTAAGCTCCGGGAGTTGGTGATGGACAGGGAGGCCTGGCATGTGCTGCAGTCCATGAGGTCGCGAAGAGTCAGACATGACTGAGCGACTGAACTGAACTGATATTTAATTTAATTTTTTTGACTTAGAAGATGGCAGAAAAATATGTTCATAAACTCCAAGATCTTTTAAGATATCAAATGCATTTTTTAAAACTAATGAATAGTAATGAAAATGACTTAAGAGATTTCTCATTAGATCTTTCTGCCTGCTTATTGATGTTCATTTTAATATGTTTTGCTGTATTTCATCTAGTGTGGCTTAAAAATCTACTAGGGATACAGCTATTGGAGTAATTTGCTTCCCTTGGAGTAAATTTCTTCCCTTGCCAAATCATCACTGTGGTCAGATAAGTTTCTGATATTTTCAGCGTAAATTCTACTTTCACTTAGCTTATTATTTGTTGCTTTGTTCCCAAGAAAGAAAGTGACTACTTCCTCTCCTTAAGGTCTATTTATTTCATCTTTTGTATTCTTTCCAAGTATAGCTTCAGAGTCCAGCATTAAATCATCATATGATACTATGCAGATCCAGTGATATAAGCATTTCTTTGTAAATCAGTCTCCTGTGACTCCCTCCCAAATGCATTATGTTGTGCAGTAAACGTCCATGGACATCACAAAATATGGCCTTCTTTGTTTCTACTCAGTTTTTTGAGTTTGGTACAAGAAACAAGGTTTGGTTTTTGTCTGTACTACAGAAAAACAACAGTAATCTTAACAGAAATTTAAAATAAGAAGAAAGATCATCAACCAAAAACTTATGACTTTTTCCATCTAGTATCATATTTGGGATTGTGTGTTTCTGTGGATGTGAATGAATCACTGTTTTATCCCAGGACTCTAATTTACTGGAAGAAAACAATATTAGCAAGGAGCAGTTATACTTACTGGGTTAAAATAACCTATAGTTCTACTTACAAAGGACTACATAATTTAGCGTGTGCTTAGGCTTAACAGTCCTATGCAGAAATCAGCTTATAAACAATGTGGAAGTCTTGCAGAAAGAAACGGAATTGTGGAGAAGGTGGTTAAACTTAGAAAGAGCAGAAAGGAAGAGTTGCTGGGCAAGACTGAGGACAGGAAGAGAAGGGGCGACAGAGGACGAGACGGTTGGATGGCCTCACCGACTCGACGGGCCTGAGTTTGTACACGCTCTGGGAGATGGGAAGGACAGGGAAGCCTGGCATGTTGCAGTCCACAGGTTTGCAAAGAGTTGGACACGAATGAGCACCCACGCAGGCGCACAGTTACCTTGTCTGTCTGCCTCACTCTACTATCGCCACTTTACTATTCTACAACAGATCTTTTTTTCTCTGCATTGTTAGCCTATCAAATGTCTCACAGCTATCAACTGAGCAAGATCTGCTTTAATGAATTAATGTGTATAACCAAGCATCTTTTTTTTTTTTAAACAATGTGAATTACTTCGCACTTTCCCATTCTATCAATGTCTCTCTTCTCAGGGTGAAAAGACACAGATATTAAGAGTCAGGTAGCACAGTCCAACAGAGGTCTTGGGAATAGAGAAGTCAAAACCAAACCGAAATGTCATAATTGGAAGAAGGGTCAACTTGCTGTGCTGTGACCAAGGAAAATCAGAAAAGAGAAAACTTCTTCAAAAGCTACAGCAAAAAATATACTACAACTGTGTGCAGAGGGATTTTTTTCCCCTAACTTTTCGCAGTGTCTCTAGAACACAAAGTGTCAAGCATAAAGTACCATGAAGGGTACATGGAAAGTTTGGCAGGTATTACTATTTGAATATAATCCTACTGCTAGAACAGACACTATTTTGAAATATGACAATACCTTCTGATCTCTGTTCCCTTGTTCTTCATTATGGAGAACATTTTCAGGATAATAGGATGTCTATGTTTTAGTAGCACATCTGTTCCTGTTTCATTGTCTTTACTTGAGATCATAATTTCCTCTTTGAGAATGTGCAATTGGTGGCAAGCAGAGATGATTATGATGTAATAAACAGAAATGATGACTTCAGGTGGGTTATAATAGTTAAGAAACTGAGGTTTTTTTGTTTCCAAGTAAATTCTTCTGCTGATTAACATGAGGAAAAGGAAACCAAAATGTATGCAATGTCTGAGCAGAATGGCCTCAGAACTAAACAATTTCTCAGTCAGATCATTTCTGACTTGTCTGTTTTATGGTTTGTGTCATGGCTGTGTGGTTAAATACATTTATTATTGTCACATATACATATGATGCATGTATATATGCACACACATTTATGTATATATTTTATATAAGTGTACATATAATCACTTTCAGTTTATTATTAGATAACATAAATAGTAGAAACTTTCTTTGAAACAGACTTGGATTGAATTCTGGCTAAAACACTTTGCTTCATGATTTTGGCATATTAACCACTTTGTATCTCAGTAGCTGCTTCAGTAAAATGTCAGATAAAGACAGCCCTCAGATTGGGAGAAAATAATAGCAAACGAAGCAACAGACAAAGGATTAATCTCAAAAATATACAAGCAACTCCTCCAGCTCAACTCCAGAAAAATAAATGACCCAATCAAAAAATGGGCCAAAGAACTAAACAGACATTTCTCCAAGGAAGACATACAGATGGCTAACAAACACATGAAAAGATGCTCAACATCACTCATTATCAGAGAAATGCAAATCAAAACCACAATGAGGTACCATTACACGCCAGTCAGGATGGCTGCTATCCAAAAGTCTACAAGCAATAAATGCTGGAGAGGGTGTGGAGAAAAGGGAACCCTCTTACACTGTTGGTGGGAATGCAAATTAGTACAGCCACTATGGAAAACAGTGTGGAGATTTCTTAAAAAGCTGGAAATAGAACTGCCATATGACCCAGCAATCCCACTTCTGGGCATACACACCAAGGAAACCAGATCTGAAAGAGACACGTGCACCCCAATGTTCATCGCAGCACTGTTTATAATAGCCAGGACATGGAAGCAACCTAGATGCCCATCAGCAGACGAATGGATGAGGAAGCTGTGGTACATATACACCATGGAATATTACTCAGCCATTAAAAAGAATTCATTTGAATCAGTTCTAATGAGATGGATGAAACTGGAGCCCATTATACAGAGCGAAGTAAGCCAGAAAGATAAAGACCATTACAGTATACTAACACATATATATGGAATTTAGAAAGATGGTAACGATAACCCTATATGCAAAACAGAAAAAGAGACTCAGATGTATAGAACAGACTTGTGGACTCTGGGAGAAGGCGAGGGTGGGATGTTTCAAGAGAACAGCATCGAAACATGTATATTATCTAGGGTGAAACAGATCACCAGCCCAGGTTGGGTGCATGAGACAAGTGCTCGGGCCTGGTGCACTGGGAAGACCCAGAGGGATGGGGTGGAGAGGGAGGTGGGAGGGGGGACCGGAATGGGGAACTCATGTAAATCCATGGCTGATTCATGTCAATGTATGACAAAAACCACTGCAATGATGTAAAGTAATTAGCCTCCAACTAATAAAAATAAATGAAAAAAAAATGTCAGATAAAAACGTCAGCTTCTTTATTCTGAAAATTGTTGATGATATTTTAAAAACGCATTTTAAAATGCATGGACCAGGATGTCTGACGCATGAAAGTGCTCAATATATGGCATGCATGTGTGCTCAGCCATGCCTGACTCTTTGCAACCCCATGAACTCTAGCCCACCAGGCTTCTCTGTCCATGGCAAGAATACTCGGGCAGGTTGCCATTTCCTCCTCCAGGGGATCTCCCCAACCCAGAGATTGAAATATATGTCACTATTGTTATTATTCTGCAAAGAGTCATCCTCAACCTTGTGCCACAGCTCTGTGCCCACTTCCTAGCATCCAGTGTTGTCTTTGCCAATGTCTTGCTCAGGTTCCTCAGTTCTGATTCCTAGTTTTGCCTTCAGCCAGGTGATCTGGCTTTCATTTTCCTACCTGCTTATACTTCTCTGCCAAACACTGGCCACTGCCAAACTGAATTCATACAAAGACATTTTTAAAAGTTTGAAAATCTGATGGAATTTTCTTAAATAAAAACTTTTATGGAGCACTGATTTTGACTAACTGTATAAATTTATATGAAATATTCTTTAAGATTATAATGTTTCACAAAAACACATACAAAATCAGGTATAGAATCTGTGCTTAAAGCTCTTTATAATTATATCAACACTAGCTAATGGTAAAAATTCTACCAAACAAAAAAGAAATCAAGTATAAACATAATGTTGACTTCTAACATCTAAACTTTAATGTTACCAGTTAATTTTTTCATCTTAGGCCATGGAATTATAGTGTGCATATTCTTATATTTGACTTCTTTCCCTGAACATTGTCTATGAGATCTAGCCATTTTGTCGCCGGGACGAATGAACTCTGACCGTTCTGTCTTCTCTTGTGTTGCCAGCTCAGGGCACATTTTCTCAGAAAGCGGCCCGCTATTACTGGGCCTTGTGGTGCGCGCGCTGTGGAGTGACGGGAGCCCTCACCTGGGTGCTGAGGGCGCTGTCAGCAGGAAGCGCTCGCTTGAGAGCCTCTGGGGACTGCCCGTCCCTGCCTGGAGGGCCTGCGTGCAACGACCGGCCTGAGGATTCGCCGCAAGCGCTCCGCCGGCGCCAACAGGTCACGGTCGCTCCAGGCCTCCCAGCGGCTCCGGATGAGCCCGCGGCGAGACTGCAGTTGCAGCCAAACGTCTCTTCCGCCCAATCCTGCTTCCTTCCCTTTCCTTCCAAGAGTGTTCCCTCCTCAGCGCTCTCCGCCCACCTCCCTCTCAGACTTAGCTGCCACAGCCCTGATAGGTAACCGACACCGGAAGACACGGTTGCGCTCTTCCGCTTTCCAAGCAATGAGACGCTTTCATGAAGCCTAGTGACCTAAAGTGGCCTACGGTGAAGAGTGGGCCGTTCCTGAAAAGGGTGAGTAGGGAGCGGAGCTGACTGGTCACAGATACTGACAGAAATTCTAGGAAGGAGGGAGGAGGCAGGGGATAATTGATAACGTCCTTCCTGGAAAAGGGAGAGGATGCCCTTGCTTGTATTCACTTCCGGTAGACCCGGAAGGGCCAGCGTGTCACTTCAGTGCTACTCCCTGATGTAATTCGGTTATGGACCAAATTACATTTTGTTGATGCTGTGCAAGATAAACATGACAAACACCGTGAAAGTGAGAAAGCAGATTTCACTTAGCTGTTGACAGCGTCTGAACTCCACTCTGCTTGGTGCAGAGGTGGTTGGTCAGTTTGAAGGAAGAAGTATGTGGAGAGTTTGGGGTTCCTATTGGAGTCAGAGAAGTGAAGAGTTATAAATGGTCAGTGTAATATGATTGGCCATGTGTGCTTGTGAGCTGGCACTTAGCGGAGTTAGGATTCTTTCCCTGCACAAAAACTGGAAGACACTGGCTCTATCCACCCTGAGGATCCCATTTCAGTGGAATGGCTCTTAGGTCTTTCAGAGAAGACACGCTCTAAGAGATTCACATTCACAACTGTGAGCTCTTTTCAGTAAAGGCTCTGAGAAAGGGAAGTCAGGGGCCTCTCCCCCATTGTTGACTAGAATAGATTCTCTAGGTAGCATTGAAGCTTTCTCAGGCAGGAATTGAATGGGGGCTCTGGGGTCATCCTAGGGACATGGAATCTGTACCAGAGTTTGGCCAAGTCTTTTCCTGCAGGAGTCTGAAGAGTTATGTGCTTAGGGTTCTTCATTGTTCAAAGCCCTGAGATGGGACTGTATTTGGAGACAGGGTCTTTAAGAGGTAATTCACTTAAAATGAGGTTATGAGGGTGGGGTCCCTATGCATTAGAGTTGGTGTCCTTGTGAAGAAAGGAGGAGATGCAAGAGATCTCTCTCATTATACACAGCAGTGGGTTGAAGACACGGGAATACAGCAAGAAAGTCACCATTTGGAAGCAGAGGAGTGTTCTCCCCAGAAAACAAGCCAGCTGCTTCCTTGATCTGGAACTTCCAGCTTCCAAAAGTGTGAGAAGAGAAATTTCTCCCAGTCTGTGGCATTTTATAATGGCTGCCCTACCAGATTAGTACACGTATGTACACACTACATCTGAAATCATACAGGTATTAATTTTAATAGACTGTGAGGATACTTTTGTACGAGTATACACAGACACATTTTTACATAGAAACCACAGACAAAAATAGTTTGTTTTTTAAACTAAGTATGTTTACTAGATATGCTAATTTCAGTCTCCCTCTGGGACTAAAAGATTTGTTTATAGTTAAGCAGCATTTATACTCATTTATACTAACTTCAAAAACTAAAGGCATTGCCAAAAGATGAAATGTGAATTGATTTTAACGCCACCAAGTGGACTAAATCAGAATGTTTTTCACGAAAAAAAAAAAAATGCTGCCTTTGGATGGATTAACCTCTAAAATATAATTAATGAAAAGTATTCTGAGAATAAAAGAACTCAGGACCCTGCCTTGAACACAGTACATATCCTGTCGACAGTGTTTCTGTACTCCACGGTGACCTAAATGGGAAGGGATTGCGGAAGAGAGGGGATGTATGTACACACATGCCTGGTTCACTTTGCTGCGCAGCAGAGACTAACACAGCACTGTAACGCAACCACAGTCCACTCAGAACTTGGAGAAAACTCACACTAGCTCCGTTCCTCCACCCCCACTGCTTATCATACTGCTGCACAGATACACACACACACATCCATCTCCTTGCCATTTGAAGCTTTCATAGCCTTTGACTATTAATTCCATAGAACTATTTCATTTTGTGTTTAATACAGTAATTTATAAACAGAAGCGATATGTCTCATCTTTTGATAGGCTTCATCCAATAGTTAACAAGCTGAAATAATGATATATCAACATTATTATAAAAAGAGTGGAGTTAGATGATAGTAATTTATCATAAATAATGAAAGTCCAACTTTATATTTTTATTAAAATCCTGGATAAATTTCCTAATCTAGGATAGGGCACAAAATTATGTAGGCCAAAGAATAGGATTTACTACACTAGTTAGGTGTGATCATGGTCCCTGATAGACTCTTTGTTCTTCAGAAAATTTTGGTTATTTTTCATTTTTTATCACTATTTCTATAATTGTGAGAGGAAAATGGCCAACACCAAATTGATTATCACTGTTTTGCCCAATTTAAAAGCATTATATATATGAGGTAAATCTTAATGTATGTCAAAACAGAAGAGTTAGGTCACACTCTGTGTTTAAATCAGTCCATACAGCAATCAAAAATTGGATGAAAATAAGGCTAAAAATACCCTTCCATCTGTGGAATAAAGTAATAATATTTAGTCTATGAAAACTCCTTTGGGAAGAAGGTGCTATCATTTTGCTCCCTCCAGATATTCTTAGGAACCAAAGATGAATGATTTCTCTCAGGATGATATCTGACACAAACAAAGATCACCCAACACCCACACAGTTTTACTCAATGATGTTTCATAATTCTTCTTTCTTTGAACCTCTTGTATGTCACGAGGCTTCAACCGTTCAGTATGTATGGTTGAATCTGGCTAAATAGCTTCTGTCAATCTCTACTTAAATTCAGTTCCAGTCTGCCTTTGTCAGTCTGGGCTGCTATAATAGGTGCCAAAGACTGGGGAAGTTTGTGAACAATAGAAGTTTGCTTCTCCTGGTTCTTGGGGCTTGAAGTTCAAGATGAGGGCACCAGCATGGTCGCGTTCTGAGGAAAGCCCTCTTACAGTTTGCACAGGGCCCTGTGCACTCTGCCCTCGTGTGGAAGAACAGGCAAGGACACTCTCCGGGTTTCCTTACAGGGGCTCTGATCCCACTCACGGAGGCCCTGTGCCCTCATGACCTAATCACCTCTTAAAAGCTTCCCCTCCAAATACCATCACATAGGAGATTAGGTTTCAACATGCTGTTTTGTTTTGATTTTTAAAAATTCGAGCATAATTGCTTTACAGTGTTGAGTTAGCTTCTACTGCACAGCAAAGTGAGTCAGCTGTGTGTATACACAGATCAGTCCTCTTTTGGATTTCCTCCCCACTTAGGTCACCGCAGAGCCCTGAGTAGGGTTCCTTGTGCTGTACAGTAGGCCTCACTGGGGTCCATTTTATGCACAGCAGTGTACACACCTCAATCCCAACCTCCCAACTCATCCAACCTCGCCTTTCCTCCCTTGGTGTCCATATGTCTGTTCTCTATTTCTGTTTTACAAATAAGATCATCTATGTCATTTTTCTATATTCCACATGGATGTGTTAATATATGATATGTGTTTTTCTCTTTCTGACTTACTTCACTCTGTATGACAGTCTCTATGTCCATCCACATTTCTACAAAGGACCCAATTTCATCCCTTTTTATTGCTGAGTCCTATCCCACTGTATATATGGACCACATCATCTTTATCCACTCCTCTGTCAAGACATTTAAGCCACTTCCATGTCTTGGCTCTTGTAAACAGTGCTGCATTGGGGTGCACATGTCTTTTTGAAGTGTGTTTTTCTCTGGTATATGACCAGTCATGGGATTGATGGGTCAGGAATAGAATCTACCTGCGATGCAGTAGATGCAGGAGACGGGGGTTCAATCCTTGAGTTGGGAGATCCTGAGAACAAATGCCTGGCAACCCACTCCAGTATTCTTGCCTGGAGAATCCCATGGCCAGAGGAGCCTGGTGGGCTACAGTTTACATGGTCACAAAGAGCTGGACATGACTGGTGACTGAGCACACAGCACATGGCAGTTCTATGTTTAATTTCTTAAGATTCAACATATGATTTTTGGGAAAAGAGAAACATGCAGTCTAAAGAAGAGTCTGTATAATATCTACATTTAAAAAAATGCCTACTGATCTGTGNTGTTATTTCCCTCTATTTCTTTGCATTGTTCACGTAAAAAGGCTTTCTTATCTCTCCTTGTTATTTTCTGGAAATCTGCATTCAGATGGGTGTGTCTTTCCTTTTCTCCTTTGTCTTTTGCTTCTCTTTTCTCAAGTCTTTGTAGGGCCTCCTCAGACAACCACTTAGCCTTGTTGCATTTATTTTTCTTGAGAATGGTTTTGATCACCACCTCCTGTACAGTATTACATCCATAGTAATGGACAACCTCCATCCATAGTTCTTCAGGCACTCTGTCTACCAAATCAAATCCCTTAAATTTATTTGTCACTTCCACTGTATAATCATAAGGGATTTGATTTAGGTCATACCTGAATGGCCTACTAGTTTTCCTTACTTTCTTCAATTAAGTCTGAATTTTGCAATAAGGAGTTCATGATCTGAGCCACAATCAGCTCCTGGTCTTATTTTTGCTGACTGTATAGAAATTCTCCATATTTGGCTGCAAAGAATATAATCAATCCGATTTTGTTATTGAACATTTGGTGATGTCCATGTATGGAGATATCGCTTGTGTTGTTGGAAGAGGGTATTTGCTATAACCAGAGAATTTTCTTGGCAAAACTCTGTTAGTTTTCACCCTGCTTTCATTCCGTACTTCATAGCCAAACTTTCCTCTTATTCCAGGGATCTCTTGACTTCCTACTTTTGCATTCCAGTCCTTTATGATGAAAAGGACATCTTTTCATCAAATTGTCAACATCCATCAGATCATACAAAAAGCAAGAGAATTCCAGAAAAAACATCTACTTCTGCTTCATTGACTGCACTAAAGCCTTTGACTGTGTGGATCACAACAAACTGTGGAAAATTCTTAAAGAGATGGGAATACCAGCCCACCTGACCTGCTTCCTGAAAAACCTGTATGCAGGTCTAGAGGCAACAGTTAGAACCAGATATGGGGCAACAGACAGGTTCCAAATTGGGAAAGGAGTACATCAAGGCTGTCACTCTGCTTATTTGACTTATATGCAGAGTACATCATGCAAAATCCAGGCTGGATGAAGCACAAGCTGGAATCAGGATTGTGGGGAGAAATATAAATATCC